ATGTGAAGGTGTATTTCGAGTATGTAGATTATGAATATTTGAGCCACAGTTTTTGTCTGCGAGCTGGACTTATAAGTTTCTCATCAATTTTGATATTGAATGCAGTGTAAGTATTCGGAGTGCTCACTATGGTGATGTGGGGAAATTTTCGCAGATAATTATAATTGTTTTCCATATAAAGAAAGATTTTTTTTTTGGTTCTGTTTACTAAGGTTTCTTCGAATTATTCTGCTGTAATCGTAGTATACATAGTGAGTTGTCGGGGCAAACATGAGGAAAATGACAAGCAGCAAACTATACTGAGCTTACATAAGACGAAGTATCCACATATCGGTTTATATAACACTACAAAAGCTACAGTAAAAGAGCACTAAGACCTACTAAATGTACCCAAAAACTCATCGACTTAAACTCATCGACCATAAACTATCAGAAAATCACATTACTTTAAGTTTGGTAAACCTACGTTGGAATAGGATAATAAATACAAATGGCAAATCGATATTTTCCGTTAGTAAGCATACATGCCACATTAATCATTTCGCAACTGTGTTTTAGTTCATAAAGGCATAATAATCTGATCAATAATCCTCAATACACATAAACTGCTGACACTCGTAAATCATTTATAACACATGTAATCGTGTGTGATCAGTAAAGTCAACAAAACGTATGCCAGCAAAGGCGTCCCACAGCGTTTCGACGAATAAGCGATTTACTACTACACTTAAACACTCGTACAGTGGTGTGCAACGAAACCAGCACATCTCCACTGTAAAGTTCCCAGGCTGCAACCGACAGTAATGAGCGTTGACAACTTCAACTTGTGTTCGAATATTTTATTTTATTTTTCTAATCTTTGTTTTAATTTCTTTCTCGTTTGAGTCCTCGAAACACTTTTCATAAGCACTTTCGGAATGGCCTCCTGCTTCTTCACTATTCTTCTTTGTTGAAATGAAATCAAATCGAACCATTTCTGAAGCGAACGGTCCCAGGAGACGAAAAGTGGATCAAATACGACAATAATGTGCGAAAAAGATCGTGGTACAAGCGTGGTGAAGCTCAACAAATGGTCGCAAAACCAGTGCTGACGCCTCGGAAGGTTATGCTCAGTGTTTGGTGGGATTGGAAAGGAATCATACACTGTGAGTTGCTTCAGCTTGGTCGAATGAATGATTCTACATTTTACTGAAAACCACTGATGAGATTGAAGCAACCAATCGAAAAAGGCTAGAACTGATCAACGGAAAGTGCTGCGTCTTCCATCAGGACAACGCTGGAGCATACACATTTTCGATGTCTTGGTCAAAGTGGGTGAGCTTGGCTGGGAAGTTTTAATGCCCTGACTTTGATCTATCGTACAACCATTTTTTTTTTGTTTTTTGGTCAATGCAGAACTCCCTTAATGGAGTAAAGTTGGCTTTAAGAGAAGCCTGTGAAAATTACTTGTAGCAGTTTTTTGTCGAGAAAGCAGAAAAGTTTTACACTAATGGAGTAATGTCTCTAGCGGAAAAATGGCAAAAAGCGGTCGACCAAAATGGTACATATTTAGTTTATTAAAGTTTATTATAAATATAAAACAAATAAGTTGAAGTTGGATTTTATTATTAAGTAATGTAAATGTGGCATCACTATACTTCTTATTATTTTTAAACTGTTCTTGTGTATATGATACTCAATAAACTCAGTCGTCCTCTTACATGGAAACTGCGTGTATGTAACTTTTTCGACTACCCTATATAAAGGTTAGATATAGGTAAATTAAAAACAAAGAAAAAAAAATTCGAATCACCAGTGTGTATAACCCCAAAGAGTGTTTAAAAAATACCTGGAATCTTAATTTTTTAACTATTTTCTACCACTGTACTAATGTATACTAAATACACACATACTAAAAATATTTATTGCACTCTGTGAATACAAAAACCTGCAAATATAAGATGAAATCTCCAGCAGGATTAAAATTCGGTTAAACTTGTTTGTGGCTTGCGTATGCAAATGCAATTAAAACATAGCATCTGTGCTTTGAGACATTTTTGCTCCGACAGAGTATTGATTAAAAGTGCATTGATGCAAATGACAAAAGATTTTATGAAGGAATGGCATTTACTTGACATTTATAACCACATGTCAAATTGTTTTGTAAATAAATACACTGAAATATTCTTATAAAGAAAATATTCATTATTTTCAAGGCTGTAATTGGGCAATAATTAATGAAAGTAGCTAATAATGCTAAGGCCAAATGTGCCAACGATAGCTTGTGGCTATAAATTATCTGAATATTAAGATCAAAAGGCATTCAATTAAATTAGTAAAATGATGCTTCTCAGCCATATTTTCGTATTTCTTGTAACAAGCTGCAGGGCGTATAATATTATATTTGTTTTTTTGTTTTTTTTTGTTATAAAACAAAGTAGAGTAGGTAAAATTTGACAGCCAGATGCATATATCTGACTGTTTGTCTTTCTAGGCCATAATTAGTGTCGGCACTATACTATTGATTAGTAAAACTGAGTATTTCCAAATTAATAGTTAACTCACAAATCTAACTCTTATTGGAAATTATAGCTTATTACCATAAATAACACCAAATTATTTTCAGCAACGCTTTACAAATGCCAGAACAGCCATACCACTTGCTTATTATGCTAAGTTTAACTAAATTTGTTAACTATTTTAGGGCATATTAACCGCTTCTTTGCAATATATGTGAATATTATTTTGTATTAAATAATCTTCCAATTTCATAGATTAATAAGCAAAACTATTTAGGCCAATTTGTTTTAAGATTCCTGTATTTGATTGAATTTTGCGATTGGGTTCGTAGACCCAGGGTTAAGTGAATATTTTACGCACGCATAATCAAGCGAATGGGTCTGGTTGTGAACGAGCACAAGGGGTAATATCTCTTGTCAACAAATAAATTGTCAGCGTATTTGCGACTTGGCTCAACCGTCGCTATTGACAGTCATAACCTTGAATTAGTAGATAATTTCGCCTATTTGGAACCATCATCAACACCAAAAACAATATCAGCGTTGACAGCCAACAGTCTTGACAACGTTTGCTACTTTAGACTGAGTAGTCAATTGCTCTCACTACTCTATATCATTCATTACTCCCATTCTGCTTTATAGTGCGCAGACATGGATAATGGTATTATCTTTTGAGTCAACCTTAGCAGTGTTTGAGAGAAAGGTTTTGTGAACAATTTATGGTCCTTTGCGCATTGGCAACGCCAAATATCGCACTTCATCGGAACGATGAGCTACACCAGATATACGGCGACATTGACATAATTCAGCGAATCAACAGATATCGGCTGTTGTCCGAATGTGCAGTTCATCTGTAAAAAAAGCTTTATCTGTACAACCGATATATCGTTAAGCTACTCTTGACCGATAGTTGACATTATTTGGTTATAGAAAGCTTTGCGTTCAACAAAGAAAATGTTTTATAGTCTCCTCTTCTAATGTCTTACATTTTCTGCTATATAGTGTTACTAGTTTAACGGCATGTCTATAGATTAGACAGTGCGCTGTTAGCACTTCTACTCGAGTTCTCATGCCATTCCTTTTGAATTTGAATAGTCGTCATGTGCGGCACATATTCCTTTCATGCCTCGATTGCCTTGTTATTGTGGAAGTTCAGAATTGACTCCAACGAAAATCAGTAAATCAAAGAAATATCAATTTTTTTTTTTACGGCATCTAGTTGTAAGATGGCGCCTAATCTGGCTAGTTCAGAACACACTGCAGATTTATCGTAGAATTGGTTGCTGTGTTCGCTATCAATATCTTTGACGAAACTATTAAAAACTTTATTGATTTCAATGGCGATTGGTTATCTGTACATCTAAGTGCATTTGGGTACCTAATTTTGTTTAAAACGCATCATTTTCTACTCGATTATCTAGTTTGGGCCCAACTGCTTTGCTGCTTATTCCATCGTTCCTGTCCCCCAGTTTCTTATCCAGTCTATTCTGGAAGAGGGAGCAATATTAAGGACCAGTTTTAAGTTGAATTCTATAGGGTTTCGAAAAAACGTGGTATTTGATAGAGACTAGAATTAATTAAGTATTTTAGAATGCCCTTTTTACAGATGACTAATAGCGAGTATTGTTTCACTATAAGATTTTATTTCGCTGCCAGTTGCTTTTGCTTACAGAACTAGTTTGTTGGCAATAGATGTCAAAGGTGCCCGGTTTGACGTTGTTCTAAGTGCTCAACTGAAGTACATATTGGCTGTTATTTGTATGTTTGCCACATGCCATTCTTTTTCATTATTGGCCACCTCCGCTGTACAAAGCCATTGATTTAACCGAAGCGTTAATCTCTATTTGAGCTCCATACATGCTCTTACGATTGTTTTATTCACCCTAGCGTCTAAGTTTAGTTTTCAGGAAAGTTTTACTTTATTAAGAAGATTATTTTTCATAATTAGGCATTTCGAGGAGTCTGTATAATATTTTTTTTTCTTCTAAAAATTTCGCTAGATTTTGTGATGGCCACCTACCGAAGAATGTTAGATGAACACAGCTGTTACACTAGCATGTAGCAACATGTTGCAAGAGTATAAAAAAGTATATTTCTAAGCAAAAAATATGTTGAAGACAGTTGATCTTATTGCGTGGTGTGTGTGCGAAAAGCAATCGAAATGTATCTCTGACTGCCTACTGGACAGTGATAGGCGACAAATTGAGAATTTGCAAACAGAGCACGTCCCTTTCAGATTGCCCGCATACAGCTGAGTAAGCCAAATAATGGTTTTCGGTTAATTTGCTGAAATTAGGGATAATGCCAGCAATGAGACGATTTAGCTATGCCACTACTTACTATATACTTAAAATGTACAAATTGGATACTTTGTGATAAGAATGAATGTTGTTTGTGTGTGCATTGGACTAAAGGTCTTTGTAGGATTGTGCCAGGTAATCTCAGCAGCGGCGCATACAGTTTCAATGTTCTACTACACATAAATTCTTTTTCTCGTTTCAGCATTCGAAGGTACAACCAGATATCCACCACATCACCATCGCCCGCCTCCCCAAAATGCGCTCACTTCAAACGGACACCATCACCCACAACAACATCATTTCGACACAATATCGCTAGCAGGCCACCTAGCCGGCTCGTCACTTGTGTCATCCTCATCGCCAGCGCTCGCATCATTATCACAGCTCGAGCTGTCCAATGTCATCGTGGATAGTTTCGAAGGTGTGGGCGGTGTAGCAGGTGGCGTCGGTGAGCCGCAATTTGAAAATACCACCGAACGTGAGGTGATTGCGGCTGTCGGTACGACCGCACGGTTGCACTGTCGTGTGCGAAATCTGGGAGATCGAGCTGTGTCATGGATACGTAAGCGTGACCTACATATACTTACTATCGGCATCATGACATACACGAACGATCAGCGTTTTTTGGCGCGTCACACCGACAACTCGGACGAATGGGTGTTGAAGGTGGTGTCGGTGCAGCCGCGCGATGCTGGCGTTTACGAGTGTCAGGTGTCGACAGAGCCGAAAATTAGTCAAGCGTACAAGCTGATGGTTGTGAGTGAGTATCGCGAACATTTATATAGTACAACACACACACCAATAGGCATAAAAAGCAATGTGATTGGTAATAATAAGAAATTATTTCTATGCTGGCGTCGTTTATTTATCAATAAAAATGCGAATTGAATAGATACTATATTAAAGGAAAATCTCATAAGCTTCAGCGAGAAGTTAGAAATACCTAAAAAGCTCAACTCAACTATTACATTCGCGCCTAATACGCACTCAAGTCCGTATTTGAATCGGATTGATATTTTTTCCCTGTTTGCTACAATCTTTTACGCTCGTGTGAAGTTTGATTCAAGTCATTTACTGGCCACGGAGGCATTGAAGATATGGAAGAAGTGGAAGAACATTGGAGAGTCTATTTTTTAAAGACCGCCAATGTTTGAGTGACACTAAGCAGTTAAAGAAGATCGTGATGCCAACGAAAACTAAATTCATACAAGTCATCCCTCCAACTTTACTAATGACGATAGCATAAAAAATGTGCTTTAAAATCGTCTGGTTGGCAATAGAGAGTTTACATAGGATTCTGTCATCTCTTATGGATATGATAACCTTGCGTTTGTAACATTATAACCTGACGTTTGTAACATATGAAATTTAGCGTTAGAGACCTTTTAGTCGATAAGTAGATTTAGCCATGCACGACTGCCTGTTTGTTGTCCATCTGAGCGACTAGCAGTTTTTGAGATATTGATCTGAAATTTTGCACAGGCCCTTTTCTCCTCAAGAAACTGCTCATATGTCAGAATTGCCTATATCGGACCTTTATACCATATAACTGCCATACAAACTAAACGATCGAAACAAAGCGCTTATATGTAAAACTTTTTGATTTCACGAGATATCTGCAAGAAATTTGGCATGGGATATTATCGAAGACAATCACGTATTCTCCGAAGAAACTGTTTAAATCGAATCACTATGGCTTGCAGCTGCCATACAAACTGACCAATCAAAGTTGTTCAGAAAAAGATTTCCTATTCGTGAAGTTTACCTATTTTATGTTTTATGTTATATGTATGTTCAAATACGAGACTCGTCGCAAACAATATGAAAGCACGAAGTGAAGGTCATCACTTAAGCTTCATAATCGCCTAGTTTGTCTTCCTCAGACTTTTTTTTTTTGTTTTTGCATTCGAAACTCAAAAATCCGCTTCGCACAACGCATTAGGAGTACATTGGTCCTATATTTAGACGCAGATTGTACCAATCAAGGGAAAAAATGTATTGATTCGGTTTGCTCGCGCTATTTATATGGAGCAAGGCGCTTAAAATTTTGAGCTCGAGTATTTACAAGTGAATTAGTCACCTCGTAGGTTTGAAGAAAATGACTTAATATGACATTTTAATATAAATTACACACTTACACATACTTCACACTAGAAATATATATGAATTTGTACCAGCAACCGCCTCCAACTTATTACCATTACAAGTACTTGTTGTAGCCATTAATTACGACAATTTCTTACACGGCAACCACTCTAACAGCGCCCGCTTATGGCCTCCCTTTTGACTAATCGCAAAATATGCTTTTTTTCTCTCGCTTTTTCAATGGGCCTATCCGTGCTGCCGCCGCTGCTTGATATTCCATTTTGCCTTTTTCGCAATTAACGCTGATTACGGCAATGAAATGCAACGGCAATGTAAACGCCCTGCTGACGCTGCCGCCTTCACCATACACGTCGATATCAATACCAAACTCAACGCATAATCATTGTGCCAATAACACGGTCACACAACAACATCAACTCGACGGGCGCTCACATTAAATAAATCCACCGAATGCAATACACGGACTCGTCGTGCGCTGTACTATTTGTACGGTTGGCTGGCGCTGTTGATGATGATTACGATAATGATGATGATGATCGGAACGTTTTGACTGCAGCATCAAAAGCGCAGATACTGTCGAATCGTGAGCTTTACATACAAAGCGGCAGCGATATAAATCTGACGTGCATCGCACCGCAAGCGCCCGGCCCGTACACGCATATGATGTGGTACAAGGACAGCGAATTAATTAACGACTCAACGCGCGGTGGTATTCGTGTCGTGTCGGAGCAGCAAATGAAGACAAGCAATTTGGTGATATCGCGGGTGCTGCACCGGGACTCCGGGAATTACACATGTGCAGCAGATAATTCAAGTAAGTATCGTCCGCTGCGTGCCACCACCCGCACAATTGTCAGCACACAGTTCGAATTTTACTTGCATTTGCAACTGTTTTGTTGCGTGCTCGGCTCATGCGAATGTACCAAGCATACGATTGGCTGCTCGGCGTACACATGAGCGGCTCATGTATGCACATGGATGCTCATTATGTTGGCATTATTGCAATTGGAATTCTTATTAGCCAACGTGGACGGTGTTGAGCGGGTGTCGGACAGGTGTATGCGGTAGTTTGGCGTTGCTTTTCATATGATTTCGATTGCAGCAGCATATTAATATGTTTGATTAACACTTACAGATTCGGATAGTGTGTTAGTGCATATCATCAAGAGTGAGCAGCATGCGGCCATGCAACATGAGCTTGCCACGCGCATGCAGACGCCGCGACTGATGCTGGTATTACTGGCATTTTTCTATGTGAGTTGAGTGAGTTTCGCAAATACATATTTACTAATACACACACACATACTGCCGAGTGCGATTGTATACATTTACAGTGGCGAGCGTGTAACAAAAATATTAATTACTTATATGTAATTTGTGCATTTCAATGCAACGCAATTTGAGATACATATTAGGTGGGGTCATAAAATTTTTTTTTTTTTGGTCTTATTACTACGAAAAATAAGTTCTTAGATAGTTGTTTGAAAAGCTCTCCAAGTATGAACTCTTGGTTGTGACGGTACAATCGTCTGCTTGAATTATTTTTCTGCTTTTTTTATTATCCGATAAAATAAAAAGTTATCTTCCTTCCAACTATTTAAAAATTATTTAATTTCACAGGTTTTGTAGAAAAATGCGGGATTTAGAAAATGGTCTGCAACGATTTTTTTTTTTCAAGTTAGCCGCTTAAAAGATATTTAAGGTTGAAATTTAATTATTTTTAGGCAATTTTTCTGCACATAAATTTTATAATCCAATGAAAAAATTTTAATTGCAAAACTAATAGTTTTGTAAAAAAGCATGAATTTTATAATCCAATAAAAAAATCTGAATTACAAAACTCAAAGTTTTGTAGCGAATTCACTGCTCTAGAGTACACTTCTCAGAGTATCAAGTGAAAACAAAAAAAAAAAATTTTTTTTTTTACCCACCCTAATATGTAATATATGCGCATATGTGTTCCACGCTACACTCTCCTACGCGCCATTCTAATTGTATACAGGTGTGGCATAATAAGTTTTTGAGGCTAATTTTTATATTTTCCTCATTATTTTCTATAATACACAGTTATTCGAGCGTGCAATCAAATGAATGGAGTACGGTTATGAGTTAGTGTAATTAAAATTAAGGATTAGCAACAAAAACAATAAGATACTTGAAATTATTGAATAAGCAGCAGAAAATAATACTACTAAATAAGTCTTACAGTTGCCACAGCTTAGCTATTCGAAGCGCATATGCAGTGGAGAGACGACAATGGAGATGCGCATGTGAAGGTAAGTCGCCACACAAACTGTGTACATATTGTCAGCTAAAATGCAAAAATCGTATCAACAAAAAAAAGTCAAACTGAGTTTTTATTTCGTAAAATTTTCTGCTACCGCTGTCAGATATAACCAATATATAAGCAATATATAAGCAATATATAACTAATATATAACCAATATGTAAGTAATATATAACCAATATATAAGCAATATATAACCATTTTATAACCAAAACAAATTTTTTTTTGGAAAATGTGTAGTTTAAAATTACAACGTTTTTCCTTCGCCTGTGAACTTATTTGTGATTTTACGTTATTTTGCATTTTAGGTGCATATATTAATTAATTATTGCAGTATTCTGCGTTTTGTATTGAACTAACTATTGTTTAATTGCGTAAACTAGACGCTGCACTCACCACTCAGCACGCTTGCGTCAGCACAATTGCAGAGCCAAAGAAACCAAATAACCAAGACAACGAATGTGCGTTGAGTTATACGTTGATGGAAGGACGCGCCGCTGCTGCAGCACAATTTGCGTACATTTGTGTGCACAAGAGACTTGATAATTGTTAGTTGTTTTTACATATAGCTGTCTGATAGCTGTAACTGATCCTTTACTTGCTGTTAATTCACGATTTCCCATTATTTGCTATTTGCGTTTTTTAGCTTTAATGCGATATTTTCGGTAGGTATGTATGTATATTCTGAAGCGTTATATTTCACTTGTAAATGTAGTTAATTATACATAATTTGTAAGTATTTTTGTACTTAATAATAGCTGATAAGTTAAGGATTTTAAGTGAATGTGTATGTGTGTGCGAGGGAGT